AAGGATCTTTGGACGTGAACAGTTTCGCTGAGGAGCACTTTTCTCGCCCCCACCCTCATCAGATCTGCCTTCTCCTTAAAAAAAATATTAAAAAAAAAAAAAAAAAAAAAAAAAAAAAAAAAAAAAAAAAAAAACGAAGCCCACCCAGACGGGCAGCCGAGGCGTCACTTTCCGCGCACCGACCTGACTGAGGGGACTTTAGGTGTTGGATAATCGGGTCTCCAACCGTCCTTCATCCACCCAGATCTCTGGCAGCGATGGAGACTCGGGCTGCCTCCTGCCCGGGCTCGCGCCTCCTCTCTCTGGGTATCTGGTTGATGGTGGCCGCGCGCASCGTGCCACACGCCGAGGCGGAGATCAGCTGCGCTTCCTGCCCGTCGCCCGTTCAACTTCACCGGGAGGAGATACAGCTGGGGGTCCGCGCCAACCGGGGGGCGGCCAGCTTGAGGCGCATCCGAACTGAGCTAAGGGAACTCGGGTTCTCCAGCCTGGAAGCCGGGCTGGACCGGGAGCGCGAGGCGGGAGATTCCAAGGAGGATGAAGTTCCCGGGGTAAGGGGAGGAGGAGAGGACGCTGCGCTCCGGAGAGCCAGGAGGAGCGGACCGGAGTTGGAGCAGTTTAGTGACAGCGGTTGGACCGGAGGGGCCCGTGTGGACCCGGGCTCTCAGGTGGACGTGCAAAGATCAGTCCGGTGGAACCGGGAGGACGGRAGAGGGATTACCCGACAGGAAGAAGCCAAACTCAGCAGCAGCACCTTCGCCCTGACCGGAGACTCTGCGCACAACCACGCGGTGGTTTACTGGTCCGGACAGAACAGCAGCGTRAGTCCAAACATCTTATTTTATTATTCTGCTGCTTTTACTCTACTTTTCCTCTGAACTGTCAGTGGTCAGGGAGGAGGAGGAGGAGGAGGGATCCTCCGCTCCGCGCGCTGAGCTAACAGGTGCAGCCGCGCTGCAGATGCGCTCCGACGCACCAGACCGCTTTTATTCCTCATAGTTTCCGCTGTCAGTGTGTGGCCTTAACGGCGGGAACAAGTTCGATGTTTCATCCTCAATGTGGAGAATAGTCAGATAAGTGATTACATGATTTATTCCTCCCCAGTGATGGCAGCTTTTTAATCCAAATGAAGTGGCTGAGGAAGAAGAGAGCCTTCAATTATTGACTGAATCATTTTCTTTACAAACCCTGATTCTTCATGCTTTATTCTCAAATTCAGTTTTTATATTCTAATTGAAAATRAAACATTTCTAATATTCATTTAGTTTCATTCACCTTTTATCATTTGGATTAAAAACAGTTTGAGATTTAACAGGAACATCACGGAAAAAAACCTGTTTTCCAAAGTGTGTGTGTGTGTGTGTGTGTGTGTGTGTGTGTGTGTGTGTGTGTGTGTGTGTGTGTATGTGTGTGTGTGTGTGTGTGTGTGTGGTGGCACCCCTGCATTATTACAATATCAGCCTGATTTTCAGCTTTGCCAACATTTATCAGTTTCTTATAATCTCTGAATGTTTGTTTAGGTTCAGTTTGAAACTTAAAGAAGGTTTTTTTGTGTTGATGTAAAACATGTCCTGCAGGTTGAAAAGACGTGCAGCTTGTTGCCACCTTCACTGAGCTCCGTGCTCCACATTCATTCCTGCACATCTGCTGCGCCTCTAACAGGAGCTCCTGATTGGAGGAGAATAATGAGACCAAATCAATCCAAGTCATTTGTTTGAACAGGAGCCTAGCTGCTCCGTTGTTTGGTTCTTTCCAGGCTTCATTTGTTGCTACAGCTGCTCTTTGTGCTTCAGTCCAGAACTAAAACACAAACAGGAATGTATAGCATATCCAGCCCGGTCAGAGCTGCTTCTGATGCATGAAGTTGTGTTTGGACCAGCAGTGAGGACCGAGGCTGTGGTGCTGGGAGGGCGGGGAGGTTATCGTGTGCTGCTGCACCTCACATGYAAATCTGTTATGTTTGAAAACCAAGGCCTCTGTTTTAAAAGCCTTTCTGCTCTCGTGCTAAAGAAAAAGAAAGAAAATCAGGAGCAGCCCAGAAGATCTACTTAATCTTCCTTGGTGGTTGGAGCTGCTTGTGGTGATGGATGATGCTGAAGCTGAGCTTGAAGTCTTTTAACTGGCCGTGGCTGCAGTTGATGTAGAATAACGGCTCACTAACAGGATGACTAACTGGTTGGATGGATGACTAGTTTTGATCAGCAGCTTTAACCTTTTCTGTCTCTGCACTCCATTATTTCAGTGACTCATCACAGGAGAGAAAAGAAAATCACTTAAATAATCCAAGAAACTCRGTAAACCATGTGTTATTTTAAAAATTTAGAGGTTTTTGATTATCTGATCACCAGCAGGGTCACCTGGAAAGGCAGGGGATTTTACTGCTGTAACACAACAGCAGGGCACAAAGAGATCAGCAATGACCTCCGAGAAGCTCCTGCTCTTCAATCTGGGAAGGGTCAAAGGTCATTTCCAAACTGCCAGGAGTCCATCTCATCACACACTGAAAAAATAACTTGTAAGACATACTTGAAAAAAATCCTCTAACAAATTTGCACTAACGTTTGTTAAGTAAATTTAAATGCTACAAATTGAAGTAATATTTACTCATTGTTATCTAGTAAAAGTTATTAAGAATATAGTTAAAGATTTGTGAATAAATCAGGTAAATTTTACTTAATTTGATCAATTAAATCTTGTAACATATACTTGATCAAATTAAGTAAAATTTACCTGAGTGATTCACAAATCTTTAACTATATTCTTAATAACTTTTACTAGGTAATGATGAATAATCATTACTTGAATTTGTTGCATTTAAATTTACTTAACCAACATTAGTGCAAATTATGAGAATTTTCTCAAGTAAATCTTACAAGTTCTTTATAACAGTGCACATGCATCAAACACAATATTGTAGCATGACTTCACCAGCAGGTGGTGGTTTTGAAGAACCTTTATTGGATTCTTCTTCATGAACAACACAGACAAAGTGAAACTCACAGGTCTTATTAATGACTAGGCCTACCACTCTCACTTATGGTTACTTCTGCTGAACGCTTTAACACAAGTTAACAAATAATGAACACACAAATTAGAGTAACACAACAGACTCATTGCTGAAAGAACAATGTTAACCATTTCCCTAAAATGATTTAACAACAACAAACATGAATCCTACCCACAATCCTCCACTGCAGTCACATGACAAACAGCCAAACACAGCAGAATGCTACAATATGCATTCCCTGTTCCCTGACAAATGGTAAGTGGACTGTACTTATATAGCGCCTTTCTATCCATCCAGGACACTCAAAGCGCTTCACACTACAGACATTCATCCATGCACACACACATTCACACACTGATGATGGCAAACTACAGCTGTAGCCACAGCTGCCCTGGGGCACACTGACAGAGGAGAGGCTGCCATACACAGGTGCCACCGGACCCTCTGACCACCATCAGTAGGCAAGGTGGGTAAGGTGTCTTGCCCAAGGACACAACAACTGAGTCAACCAGACGGGCGATMGAACTGGCAACCTTCTGGTTCCAGGACGACTCCCCTAACCACTCTACCACAGCCRCCCATGCTATATTGCCTTATATGTATTACCTTGGCGCTAGCGCTACAAACAAGCTAAACTGAGGTCCTCCATCCATATTTTCAGTTCCAGGCTGAGTCATTTCTACCTTCTCCTCTCTGTCAACGCTCTCTGGTTTCATTTAAAAGAGTCGATCATCAGATATTGTCCAAGATTAACCTTCAGGGTGGATATAGCTCGCTAGCAGCCTCGCACCGAGGACCTATCCACRTCATCATTTACCCAGAATGCTTTATGTGGAAATAAAATGGCCCCGTCCGTATTAAAATACATTTTTAAACTTTTAGTTTAAAGTGACTAAACTAAACATTCTACAGTATTTTTTACAGTCTTTATTTTACAGTTAAAGTATATGTTTATCATATAAAGTCAAATGTTACAATTAATCGGGGAGCCCTTTAAATCTGTTAACATCAGTTAGCTAATAAAACCCTGGTTATTATAAAAACCCTTCACTGTACTAAAATAATTAGTTTTAGTATTTATATCTGTGTTGTGCTTCCTGTCAAAACAAAACAAACCATAATCCCTCAGTTTTTATTTAAAATCTGTAGAACACAGAGCAGTGAGAAAACCCCCAAAACATCCATTATTCTCCATGTGTTTTTACCCTCAATGCTTCTTTTTTATTGATTTATTTTTAGTAAATGTTCTGTTTCAGCTCCAGATTTAGGGCGCGTTGCAGACATTTTAAACCTCAATCCACAAATTCTGCAGAGCATGACCACCCTGTAACAAGACCAGGACCCTCTTTTACTGAAACACGAGACSAGCTACTTTTAGAAGGTCGGCACATTTTTTTTTGTGCTGCTTTGCTCAGAATAGATGGAACCTTTTAAAACCCTGTTGATTGTGTTAAAGAGGGTTTCTGTGATTTTTATTAGATTATAGTGTTGGAGCTGTTTGAACCTGAGGGAGGAGGGTCTGTTCGATCTCTGAAGGTGAAGCAGAAACTTTGATGTGAATCATTGAACGAATCATAAATATGTTCTAAATTCTGACAAAGTGCTTCAAACTGACACAAAYTCATGTGGGCATGTTCCCAAGGGCACGCRCTCTGTTCCACTGACCTTTAGTCAACATGCCAATCCTCGGCACCACGCTCCACCGTTACAACGCCTAGGGACTAAAATGCCAAAAATATAAATGTTTTTTCTGTTTTTTTTCTGTAAGCTGGCTGACTTGCAGGCTGTTTGCTTGACTGGACACAACATGGAACATAAATTCCTCACCTCTTTGGTTGGGAGACTTCCTCCCAGTGTGATGTGATGGCGGCTGCTGGGCCATGTCTTGTTCTCTGACTACCTGTGGGAAGGCTGCCGTGGTTTGTCCTCAGGGGGGTGGTGGTGTGTCCTCTGAGGCGTGCATGCCAGCCTAATGCACTCTCACTATCTCTCAGGACTCGTCCGAGTGGCTGTGTTCRGGCCCGGCGGGCTGCTCCTGTCTGTCTGCATCTGCTAGGCATGTCTGTCTCCGCCTCGGGACTCGTGCCCGTTAACCTTGGATATTAAGCATCTGTGGAGCGGCAGCCATGTTGAGAAAAAGTGCCATTTATAATATTCATGAGTCATTGGTAACTACTCAGTAGTTACTCTTTGGTGTCTTCAGTAACTACTCAGTGACTACTCAWTAGTCCCTGAGTAGTTACTGAGTAGTTCCTCAGTAGTTAAGCTTTGTTWGTGTACCTTATTGTAAAKTCTTACYTTCATGAGCATAATTCAGAYGGTGYGTCCCTGCAGCGACGCRACAAGCTCCTTCCTGAAGCGTTTTGGAGGCAGGCTAACCCCTCAGCCTCGCCACTTGTGAGCATAATGGTGTTGTGAGTGACAGTATGAATACCAAATGGGTCGCAGCGAGAGCCTAAAACATTCATCTGATCCAGAGGAAGATGTGCTGCTCAGATTGCCTCTCAGCAGCTTCATCAAGATGAAAACGTCCCTTCAGGTCTCAGCGTCTCGGGGCTTTTCAGCTCCGGTCCTTTCAGATTCTTTCTGGATGTTTGATGACACGCATCACTTTCTTTTGGGGGTGGGGTGGGGGGCTCACAAATCAGCAGGGCTTGAGATGGTCTTTTAAGTGGTGAGGATCCTGCCAAGGCAGGTCAGCTGTATCTGACAGGTCATCAATAAAAGRAACGGTGTTTGAAACCCTCTGAACAACAAAGAGCGTTAAAAGTAAAACAAATGTCATTCGACCATCAAAGCTCTGTTCTCTGCAGG